ATTTCCTGCTTTTGGCTCTTTTCCTTTGTGGGGAAAAGGGCAAAGCAAAAACCCTGGGGAGTTATTTGGTAAATAGAAGTTTCAAGAAACTATCTGTGTAGGCACTGGGGTCCTTTCACCAAACATGGTCTGCACAAACAGTGCAAGGCACTCATCAGCAAGTGAAGCAGCAGCCACTAATACCAGTCTGTCTACAGAGGTGAAGGCTGTAGAGCAAAATGCCAAAATATATCCCAGCATCTGGGATATATTTGCATCCCCAACTCCTCTCTTTCTGGCATTTTTCTCCAAGGTACCTCCAAAAAGTCCCAGTTCCAAAGCATCACTAGCTGGAGGATTTTGGGGTTTGATTCAGTGAGTCAAGAAACACTTATTAAGCACCTACTACAGGCATTGTGCTAAGTGCTGGGAATACAAAGAAAGGCAAAAGTCAGTCTCTGACCTCAAAGAACTCAGAATCTAAAGGGGGAAACAATTTGCAAACAAAATACATAAAGGATAAATAGTAACTGATCAGCAGTTGGGAGGTAATAGCATTAAATGGGATTAGGATAGGCTTATTTTAGAAGATGGGATTTTAGCTGGGACTTGGAGGATTCCAGGAGATAGAGATTGAGAGGGAGAGAATTCTATGTTTTCAGAGATACTTCCAGGGCAGAAAATAGTGCTTGTGGCCAATCACAGACCAGAGCACAGGATAGGAGAGGAGTAAACATCTCTCCTCGGAAAGAACTGAAAACTTACAGGTCCCTAGAAGTATCTCTGAAAACAGCTACACAAAACCCCTAAAGCTTGGGACAGTACACCCTCCACCCCAGCTGGAAGCAGAGCCCTACTTTAACAAAGGGTTAAAAAGTCAAGTAATTGGCAAGTAATTGGGAAATAAGCAAACAATGGAAAAAAAACTCAGACTGTAGAATCTTACTTTGGTGACAAGGAAGATCAAAACATACAATCAGTAGAGGACAACAAAGTTGAAGCTCCTACAACCAAAGCCTCCAAGAAAAATATGATTTGGTCTCAGGCCATGGAAGAACTCAAAAGAGATTTTGAAAATCAAGTAAGAGAAGTAGAGGAAACATTGGGAAGAGAAATGAGAGTGATGCAAGAAAATCATGAAAAATGAGTCAACATCTTGCTAAAGGAGACCCCCAAAAAATACTGAAGAAAATGACTAGACTCAATGGCAAAAGAGGTCCAAAAAGCCAATGAGGAGAAGAATGCCTTAAAAAGTAGAATTGGACAAATGCAAAAGGAGGTCCAAAAGCTCACTGAAGAAAATAATTCCTTAAAAATTAGAATGGTGCAAAAAAAAAAAAAGAAAGAAAAAGGAAGAAAAAAATAGAATGGAGCAAATGGAAGTTAATGACTCTATAAGAAATAAAAAAATATATACAACAAACCAAAAGAACGAAAAAATGGAAGACAATGTGAAAAATCTCATTGGAAAAGCAACTGACATGGGGAAAATAGATCCAGGAGAGATAATTTAAGAATTATTGGACCACCTGAAAGCTATGATCAAAAAAGCTTACACATCATCTTTCAAGAAATTAACAAGGAAAACTGCCCTGGTATTCCAGAACCAGAGGGTAAAATAGAAATTGAAAGAATCTACCAATCATATCCTGAAAGAGATCCCAAAAGGAAAACTCCCAGGAAAATTATAGCCAAATTCTGGAGTTTCCAGGTCAAGGAGAAAATATTGCAAGCAGCCAGAAAAAAATAATTCAATTATTGCGGAAACAATCAGGATAACACAAGATTTAGCAGCTTCTACATTAAGGGATCAGAGGGCTTAGAATATGATATTCCAGAGGTCAAAGGATCTGTGATTAAAACCAACAATCACCTACTCAGCAAAACTGCATGTAATCTATGAGGGGAAAAATGACTTTCAATGACATAGAAGAATTTAATGCATTCTTGAGAAGCCAGAGAGAAATAGAAAAATTGACATTGAAATATAAGACTCAAGAGAAGCATGAAAAGGTAAACAGGAAAGAGAAATCATGTGACGTATTAAAATTGAACTGTTTACATTCCTACATGGAAAGATGATATTTGTAACTCATGAGACCTTTTTCATTATTAGGGTAGTTGGAGGGAAATATATGTAGACAGAGAGCACAGGGTGAGTTGAATATGAAGGTATTATTTCTAAAAAATAAAATTAAGGGGAGAGAGGAATGTACTGGGAGAAGGAGAAAAGGAGAGGTAGAATGGGGTAAATTATCTCACATGAATGAGGCAAGAAAAAGCTTTTATACTTGAGGGGAAGAGGGGGGTGGTGAGAGGGAATGAGTGAACTTTATTCTCATCAGATTTGGCTTAAGGATGGAATAACATACACACTCAATTGGGTATGGAAATCTATCTTACCCTGTAGGAAAGTAGGAGGGAAGGTGATAAGAGTGTGGGTGGTAGAGGGGAAGACAGATTGGGAGAGGTGGTGATCAGAAGGATTTGAGGAGGGACAGGGTCAAAGGAGAGAACAGAATAAATGGGGGGGTGGGATAGGATGGAGGAAATATAGTCAGTCTTTTACAACATGATTACTTTGGAAGTGTTTTGCATGACTACACATGTACAACCTATATTGAATTGCCTGCCTTCTCAATGAGAGTGGGTGGGAAGGGAGGAAGGGAGAGAAAGAAATCAATGTTAAAAATAGTTTTTACATGCAACTGGGAAATAAGATACACAGGCAATGGAGTATAGAAATCTATCTTACCCTACAGGAAAATAGAAGGGGAAGGAGATAGGAGAATGAGGGGGGGTGATAGAAGGGAGGGCAGATTGGGGGAAGGGATCATCAGAACGCACACTGTCATGGGGTGGGAGGAAAGAAGAGGTGGGGAGAAAATTTGGAACTCAAAATCTTGTGGAAGTGAATGTTGAAAACTAAAAATAAATAAATTGGAAAAAAGTTTTTAAAATTATTTATTTTATTATCAAATTTTATTATTCTCTTATTGTTGTCACGTTTTCATTCATTAAACACAACAAAATAAATTGATTCTACCCTTTTTTCTTTGCTATCTTTATTTATTTTTCCTAAATGTTTTCTTTGTAATTTCTTTGGAGAATTAGAAGTGGTGTGCCCTTTCTTCATTTTGTCCTTTTGATTATTCTCTCATTCTTACAAACGCCAATTGCCCCATTTGGTCTGTTCTCTGCCATTGGCTTTTGCTTCTTGTTATCTATCCACAAACATTCTTGGCCACTGTAATCCATTGGTACTACCTGGTGTAAATTTTCATTTCTCAGGTTTGAGGCACAAAGAAAGGCTGAATCACTGTTGTTCTTGTGTCCCTCTGTGTGAGGTAATAACAAGAACTAGAGAATTAAATGTTTTCTTCGTAAAATTTTATACAAAAAATCCTGACCAGTACATGAGAGGAAATGGCTGAGACCTAGAAGTTAGTATGATGCTTCTAGGAGATGTAAATTTAACTAGAAGAGCATAGCATGTTTCTGTAAAATAAATGAAGCATTTTCTCTCTCTTTAAAACAATGTTCTACCTCATGTAGTATTATCATCAACATTAACAACTCAGGAATGAGAAATTCCAAAAATTTTGTGAGACTCCATGAACTAGAAAGGCTTCACAGGCTCTCATAAATTGGCTCTTCAAACAAAGTAGTAGTAAAAACCCGTCTCAGTCAATACACTCAGTAGAGCAGACTCAGAAAACACCTACAGAACAAATGGGTTTTGCAATAATGTGGCATGTTTATACTCTTTTTTTTGTTCATAACTTCACTTGAAGAGTATATATTATAGTATTTCAATTTAGCCATTTATCTAAAAAAGAGTATTTTCTTGGCACATAAACAAGCTACAAAATCCCAGCTGCTCCAAGTTCTCATCTTTCCCTTGTATTGAAAAGCTTGCTTGGTACTAACGAAATGCAGTCCTGGTTATGCCATGTGACTGCATCTTTGATTTATGAGCACTGTCTTTTAGTGAGCTTATTACCAGGAAGTAGGAAAGCTTTGCACAAGCTCAGCTATTTTCTTCTTATTTCCAGTGTTAAGGGACTCTATTCTCTTCACTAGCCAAATAACTTCCTCATAAAAGGTTAGGGAGGAAGCATTAACTCTTTCAGACAACTTGAGTCTGTTCAGTGCTCTCTTATCATGGTACTCTCACACTTGAATTGATTCCAAGAATCTGATTTCATCCATGTGGGTTCATCCTCCACCGAAGAAGACCACAGTTCCTCTACCCATTCGTATTGTATACCACTTTGAGAGACCATTGGTGAAGTGGATGGAGAAATGGCCTCAAAGACAGGAAGACAATTCAAGTCCCACCTCTTACACAAACTGCTTGGGTGAGTCTGTGGGGCACATTTCTTGACCTCTCTGTATTCTAAGTGACTTTAACTTGCAAAGAAGATATTGTCCAGCACTGGTAGAAGGAGTTTCCTTATCTGGAAGTTCACTATATCAATAAAGTCACAGGTCCAGGCTCAGTCCCAATTAACAAGTTACTGTGACCAAACTTTCCCTCCCCCCCACAAAAAAACCCCAAACCTCATTATTTCCAGCTGGTTATGAGCCTGTCCAAATATGGCTAGGTGGTCCTTAAGACATACAATCATTTGCCAGACGTATCCATGGAACTGCACCTTTTCTGCTTGTTAAGACCTACTAAAACTTATACTGTCCTGATAAATTCTTCAGAATCTGATGTAACCTCTAAGCCACAAGAAGGGATCAAAACAAGGACTTCAAGGGATTTGGTTTTTTTTAGCCTAAAGTAATCAATTTTACCTTCCTAAGTGCCTATTTTTTCCTCAGGCAGATGGAAATCAATGGGAAAAATAGGTTTTACTTCAAATAAATCTGCTTAATGGCCAATTTTCCTGGAATGCTTCCATTCCATAAAATAAGGCATTCCATAAAAAGAGGCAGCCTGGCTTAATAGAGAGAGAGAGAGAGAGAGAGAGAGAGAGAGAGAGAGAGCCAGGAAGTCTTGGCCCAAGTATTACCTCTGGCATGTACTGGCTGTGTTGTCCTAGGCAAGTCCTATAACCTCCCAGTGGCTCAAGCATTCCCTAAGACTGTGAATTGAAGAACTGTTGCACATATGTATTGGTAGATGGAGTTTCCTCACTGAGACTGCCCAATAATTATTAATTCACAAATATGAACCCTAAAATTAAGAAAAAGTAATATCCATTATTCTATAAAGTAAGGCATTTATGCAGTAAAATTTCACAAAATCAGAATAATGAAAGAGGAAAAAACAATTTGATGGATAAAAGTCTGAATTATGGAACACTTAAAGCTATATTGTATTCCTTCCAGTAGAGGAATAAAAAAAGAGAATGAACCAGCTTTCACTGGTAAGGGGTGTTTCCTTATTTGGGAGTTCCCCATATCAATGTGATCCCAGAACCAGCCCCTATCCCTATTAACCAGTTGCTGTGAATGAAAAAATTCATACAGAAGTTCTACTTTTATGCTTCCCTAGGATACGAAAGGGATGGCGGGTTCTGAAATCCTACGCTGGTAGATTTGCTCATAAGCTCTGTCCATGAAGAATTGCAATGGTTTAGAAATTTACAACCGGCCAGGTTCTAGTAAATCCAAGACCAAGAAGGCAAGGCTCTGAGGAAAGGCCAGGGACCAGCCTAGATCAGTTCAAAGAAACTCATCATCACCATAATGGTGACCAACAGCTGACATTTTTCTCCCTTGCTCATGAACATCATCTAAAACATCACAGGTGGACTTGGATCTGGTGAGAGCACTCAAACCCAAGAAGCCACAAATCAAGTCTCACTTTAGTATTTTCCAATTCAGGTGAATTTTGCATTGAGACCCTCCAGTGTTAACACAGATATTTGTGCGTGTCCATGGAGCTAATGTGATGTCTTACCTCGCCTTCAGCAAAGAAGCTACAGAGGAGCTTCAGAAGGCCTTTAAAGGAGTCAATCCCATGGACAGCCTTATTGGCAAAAAGATCGGTGAGAACTTCTTTGTTGTCAATTAGTCATTAGAATCCACAAGCATTTATTGATAATTGGTCAACTCTATTTAAGGGTAGTAACACCTTTACCTTTAAAAGCAATTCAAGGACTCCTCTTGCTGTCTTAGTTGTCTTTTTAAAAAAGTCACTATGGTGCTGCCAGGTAGTAAGTTTGGCCTAAAATAAGAAATATTTATTGTGGTTAATTAAAGTTCTAGGTATTCACTCTGAATTTTGCTAAAGTATTCTAAGATCTGTATGTACTAAATGAGTGAACGTGAAGATTTCTGTCCATCTCACTAACTTTTAGCTGGAATCGAGTGGAAGAATTAAATGGATTATGTCCTCAAGGTAAATTGAAGCAAGCTGTGGTCTGGATAGACCCCTTCTGCCATCACCCCCACCTCTAACACAACAGGGAAGTAATTATATGTTTAACAGAGTTCAATGAAGCTCAGAATCAGTGATGCTTAACCTTTTTTGTGCCATAGACTCCTTTGACTATCTGGTAAAGCTTATGTACCTTTCTCAGAATAAGGTTTTTAAATGCACAAAATAAAATGTATTGAATTTCAATTTATTTTAAAATACCTATGTAAAAATATTTTCAAAACAAATTCATGGACTTCAGGTTAAGAGCCACTTCTTCTAATGGAAAGTCTAAGAAGTGTTTTAGTGCATGGATTTAACGCAAGGGCTGGTTTCAATCAATAAGGACTAGATCATGTCTGATATTTTTTTTGGTGGGAAAAATCAATACTGTCTCTTTGGGGTCAGAATTAATCTAATTTCATTGTGCTAGCTCATTAAGGGCCTAGAGTGCTTTGCTTTCCCATCCTTCTGATACAAAGAACTCATAGACTGGGAGGAAGTGAGAGAAGGACCTGACAATAATCTTTGCTAAGTATACTCTTCTAACCATCACCTTGCACAAATCTGAACAGTTAAGAAACCAAGTGAGTACCCACCAACTGAGGAATGGCTGAAGAAACTTTAACATTAACATGTAATGAAATTTTATTGTTCGATAATCCAGTCTTGTATCACCAACTGCCTACTGGACATTTTGAGTTACTTGTTCCATTGACATCTCAAATTCAACATATTCAAAAGTGAATTTATTGTATTTTTTCCCCCAAACCCACTGTCTTCTAAATTTTCTTATTTCAGTTCAGGACACCACCAGGTTTGTAACTGCAAAGTCATTCCTAATTCCTCACTCTCACCATCTCCTTTCCCATACGTTGACAAATCTTATTTCTGCCTGCAGGACATATCTTGAATCTTTTCCTTGTCTCTCCACCCAAAACTACCATCCTAGTTCAGGTACTCATAACCTCTCACACTGACTGTTGCAATAGACTCAAAATTGAACCCTCTGGTTCAAGTCTTTCCCCCATTCCAATCTCATTCATAAAGCAGCCACGTTACCTCACTGCTTAATAAATTCCAGAGATTCCCTATACCTCATGGATCAAACATAAAATCTTCTTTGGCATATAGAGCTTTTCACATCATAGACCCAACCTACATTCCCAGCCTTATTAAACATTACTCTCCTTCATAAACTCTGTTGTCATGCTAAACCGGTGCTGTTGTTCTACCTCATACCCATGTACATTTACTGGCTGTCCCTCATGCCTAAAATGCATTCCTTCTTACTATCACTTCTTAAGAGTACCTAGTTTGCTTCAAAGTTTGGCTCAGGTACCACCTTACAAGACTTCAATGTACATTCGACTAGGCTTCTGAAGTGTATTCTAATTCTGTTTATGTGATCCTTGATCCTATGATCCCTTGAGAGATATATCTTATAAGAAGGAACGAAAAAGAAAACCTCTCTTACTGAAAGGGGTTGTCTTCAGAACCAGAAAGACTTGAATTCAAGTCCCATCTCTGACAAATATTGAAGTACATTTACTGGCTGTCCCCCATGCCTAAAGTGCATTCCCTTCTCACTACCACTTCTTAAGAGTACCTAGTTTGCTTCAAAGTTTGGCTCAAATGCCACCTTCTAGAAGAAGACTTCCTTAACCTTTCTTCCCTCTCTCCCTGGCCTCTAACATTTTTCTTCCCAAAATTCTATTGTACTTATTTTGTTTATAATTTATTTATACTTTGATACTCATATTGTTTTCCTCCTTTCTGCCCTATATTCGCAGAACATAACACAATGCCTAGTGAAGAGTGGGTGATGTATTAAATGCTGGCTGGCTGATTAACAATAAATTTAGAGAAAACCGGGAAGATCTATATGACCTTATACATAATAAAATAAGCAGAACCTGAAGAATAACATATACAATGACTATGAGATTTGAAAGGAGATCACTAAAGAAGCCTAACTCTAAGTAACTGAAAAACCAGCAATGGTTCTGGGGAACCAATTATAAAATAAAGTGGGAAGGGGAAGGGAAGAGGGACTTGGAGGGCAGAAAGTTGCAGACGTGGTAAAACATTGTCACTGTATCTACTGTTTATTGCTTAACTGTATTTCATGTCTATAAGAGAAGGTTCCATCCAGAAATACAAGGAAGTGGCAGGAATATATCCATAAATGCCTATAATATAAAAGTGAAAATGTCAATAAGAGAATTCTTTTAAAAATTCGAACAGTTAAAGAACAAACAGTAAAGCATCCTCCCATAGTGACAGGAGAAAATCAAATGTTAAAAGGAGGCTGCTCTTGGGGAACAGATCTGTACTATGAAGCCCAGGGTATATACTATATCTGCTCCACATATGGGATGGCTTACTATGCACCATCCATTGGTGATGAGGAGGCCCTTTACCTCTCAGATCAGTGCTTCTCTTCACCATGCCCCTAAAAGGCAATTGCTACATTTTTCTCCCCCTTTAAACACACAAGGCCTCTCCTTCATGGCTTAGTGCCACACCACAACTCCTAGGTAAAAGGAAAACTGGCCATAAATATTTCCACTATATGAGATCAAATTTGGCTTGGTTCCTTTCAAACTTCATTGACTAGGACTTCATTTTAATCTTATGTTATTGGCATTTATATTACCATAATCCAAATTTAAGCAGGGAGAACAGGCGCAGTAATTCAGAATATGACAGTACTTCCTCCCACTGTCCCAAGAAAGCACAGCATTTTACTTCAGATGGAAAACAAGAAGGGGCAAAAAAAATGCACCTTGGGTTGAAACTAGTAGATTAAGAAGGCCTCACTGAGGTCATTGGACAAGTTGGGAACTCTCTACTAGCATATTCCTACAGCAAATTCCCTAAAGAAAAAAAAATAGAGATAAGGATAAGGATTTGACCTTTGATTTCATTGATATATAGGACTCCCAGATGAAAAATCTACCAATTTAGAAGCTTCTCTGCGATTTACATAGTCTTAGAGACTTGTCTGGAATAATGAGAAATTAAGTGACTTGCTTAGAGACAGTCAATATTTGTCAGAGATGGGACTTGAATTCAGGTCTTCCTGGTTCTGAGGACAACTCTATCCAGTAAGAGAGGTTTTCTTTTTTGTTCTTTCTCATAAAAGATATCTCTCAAGGAATCATAGGATCAAGGATCACATAAAGAGAATTAGAATAGATGTCAGAAGCCTAATCTAACCCCCTCATTTTACAAATGAGCAAACTGAGTACTGGAGAACTTAAGTGCCTTGCCCAAGGTCACACAGATAAGGCAGAAAAGCAAGAATTTGAATCCAGGTTATCTACCTCCAAAGCTAGCATTCTATCCACTGTGACACATTGTCTTTCTCTATTACATCACGTAAGAAATATGCCTGACTTCACCTCTCATGGTTCATGACACCGGCAAAACCTCTTGAGTGAATTATGTGCTTGTTGTATTTGCTCCAGGCCCATTTACTGAGTTTGGGGCATTTTTTTTCTCCCTGCTGCTAGTTGTATATATAGACCTGTGCCAAGAGCTAGAAAAAAAGGCACTAGCTCATCAATCATGTGCAAATAAGCAATCATTACAACTCTCCTTCCTTTGTAGCAAACACACTGTCCTGGTATTACTAGAGAGGACTGATATCCTTAAAAATCAAGGCAATATAAAAATGAAAGATATCAATGACATTTTAATTTTTTTAAAGTTGAAAAGCAACCAGTGAGTTATGTAGTTAGTATTTATTGGGCATATAAAATGTGCAAAATTACTGCATGAGCTGCAAGTAAATATAAGACAATCTTCTCCTGCACTTATAAAATTTACAATATAGTTAAAATATAAACACATGAAATGATAACAGTAAGTAAGACAATAAGTATTGTTAATCATCTGCCTGCTAGGTAGCTATGTTATTGATAATTGAATCTTGTTGAATAACAGCTCCTTAGTAGGCTGCCTCCTGAGAAGTCCATTCAACTCTGGTAGGAGTCATAGGATGGGGAAAAACTGGCAAGTCAAGTCAACAAGCATTTATTAAACACCCACTATTTGTCAGGCACTATGGTAAACACTAGAGGTGCAAAGAAAGGGAGCAGGGGAACCAGTTCCTGCTCTCAAGAAGCTCACAGTTAAATGGGAAAAACATTTGTACAAACAAGTTTATTGATCAATAAATTAAAAATACTCAATAGAGGAAAGGCTTCTTGCAGAAATGAGGATTTTAGCAGGGACATGAAGTAAGTCAGGGTAGCCTGGAGGTGGAGATGATAAAATTTCAGATGTAGATGATTACTAGGGAAAATGCACAGAATCAAGACATATAGTGTCTTGTACTAGGAACAACAGAGAAGCTAGTGTCACTGGATTACAGTTAAGTAAATTCAGGAAGGTGTCAGGTTATGAAGGGCTTTAAAAGTCATACAGAAGATTTTCTCTTTGATCCTGAGGGTGACAGGGAGCCCTTGAAGTTTATTGAATGGGGAGGTTGGGTGTGATATGGTCAGGCCTGAACTTTAGGATGATCAATTTGACAGCTAAATGCAGGATAGACTGGAGTGGGGAAAGACTCGAGACAGGGAGACCAACAGACAGCCATTGGAATAGTCTAGGATATGGCAATGAAGGTCTGTACCAGGGTGGTGGTTGTGTCAGATGAGAGATATTTGAAGGTAGAGAATCTACAAGACCTAGCAACTTATTGTACATGAGGGATGAAAGAGGTTGTGAGCCCAGGTGACTCAAAGATGGTGGCACCCTTGACAGTAACAAGAAGTTAGAAAGAGGGGAAGGTTCGGGAG